AAAAAAAAAAAAAAAAAAGGAAAAAAAATCAAGAAAAAAGTATCTCACTTGCTCAGTATACACTTTTCCCACTCCCTTACTGCATCTGTTATACTAATAATGATGATTAGTAGTTTAGTAGTAAACCTGTCTTGCTCTGACTTTGATCATTTTACTTAAAAAACAAAAAACCCCAATTAAGTTGGGTGTGATGGCATATACCTGTAATCCAAGTGAAGCTGAGGCAGAACCACAAAATTTGAGGCCAGCTGCAGCAACTGTCTCAAAGAAAAAAAAAAAAAGTGGGGGGGATAGGAATAGCTATAGTTAGTGGTGGGTTCAATCCCCAGGACTGCAAAACCAACAAAACCCTGAATTGGGATGCCTATTGAATTTTGTTAGACATCTTCAACATAAATGTCATGACCGTGTACCTTTCCTGCTTTAATTTTGTAATGAAACCATGCATGTTAGATTYCCTACTATCAACCCACACTTGCATCCCTGGTCAGTTGCTATTAACAGAAATGCCAACTTCCTGGCATTTGGATGCCTCCTTTCCTAGTTTCAGGTAGATTTTCTTCCATGTTTCATCATTTTGGCTATTTCAATTTTGACTATGCAAGAAAACAACTGCAACTTTTCCAGTAATCAAATACTTGTTAATTACTAAAGATAACTCAGAAGATAAATAAATCATACACAATTCTGTTACCTTAAGTTCCCAAACAGTGCTTGCTTAATTTGCTACAAACTTCCTTTGGTGTTTATTAGTAAGTTTCCAGTCTCACAAAAACCTCAGGTATCCTAAATCTAAGTGGAGCACTTGATGCTTTTCTGGATTCTGGGGGATTACTGTTTCGAGAGCTCTGCTGCCTCTTCTCTTAAGGAAAAGCTGCCACTTAAGAGTTGTGCATTAAACTGGGTGTCAATGCCACTCATATTCAGCCATTGTGTCTATGTATACTTACAATTCCCCAGAAGGTATCAGCAGAAGGGGTGGCAATAAGGCCAGATAGATGTTACCAGGGACCCTTAGTCACTTCTGAAACTAAAAAGGACCTGGGCCTAGTTAGGTTTTTGAGAATAGCCATTTTCATCCACGCCTTTCCTCCCGTTATCAAATAGCAAAAGACATGTTCACTCCCAGTGTTCTCCTATAGGCAATATTCTATTTCTTAAGCAGAACGGTGGTTTCAGAGGTGTTCATTTTATTATGCTTTATGTACATGTTACATATATTCATTTTGAATGCCTTGATACAAATAAAGAAAAGCACACTTATACAAATAAGAATGCTGTTACCATGGAATGACCTTGAATCTACTTAAAATTTTCTTCAATTAACTTATTAACAAACCTCAGTACTTCAACAGTGAGGTGCTAAGCAACTCAATGAAACCCTGCCTCTTAACAAGGCTAGGGATGTGGCTCAGTGGTAGAGTACCCCTCATTTCAATCCCTGGTACCTCCTAAAACAACAACAAAAACTTGTTATAGACTTGGGTGCATGCCTGTAATCCCAGTAATTTAGGAGGCTGATACAGATGTAGCTCTGTAGCAAAGCACCCCTAGGTATCCAAAAATCAAAACCAGAAATAAACAAAAACTTGCTATAATCTGTAGTTGCAGTGTGTGAAAAGAGGCAAACATTCCTCTCATCCTGTCTCCAGAGTTAAAGCAGTCACTGAGTGGCAGATATTTCTTCCAGAATCTAACATATAGAAATTGGGACATTATTAGCTGCATTTGAACAGGAAAAAAAAAAAAAAAAAAAGAACCTTCAAAATTCTGTTCAGCTGCAAAAGGTAAAACTTGACCTCAAAAAGGCTTGGGTGCAGCAGATCATTTTACTGTGTGATAGAGGTTGCTAGCACTATTCAACATCCAATTCTCTTTCTCCTCAGCAATAAAATCTGTAAAAGTTAATTTGGTGCAGGGCAACACAGAATAAAGACTAATTTCTCATTTTCCTTTGTAGCCAGTGGGACAAAGCAACTATGATTGTTAGCCTCTGGAGTGAGGATGGTAGCTGCCATCTTGGGGGGGTGGTGTTCAGATGCCTAAATGAAGTTTCTAAAGGGAGCAGCTGTCCTGACCATGACATGAAAGCCACATGTTGAAATGGGGAGGAGCAATATGTAAGGGACTGGATACACTACAGAGCATCATCTTACCCTCAACTGTTTCCCAGATTTGTATAAGCAAGAGAAACAAACTTCTACTTTGTATAAATCACTACTGCTTGGAAACAGAGTGAAACTATCACATAAAAAARCCAATGAATGTCAGTTTTGGCTTAATTTCCTTAACTTAAAGGGTTTATACAGGTGACACATTATATCTTGCTGTCCTTAAATCTACTGCTAAGATGCCCTAACATAACAGATATTTCCCACGGATAACACTATGTCAACAAATGGCCATTTTCAGAAGAACTCAATTCCAAATATATGGCTCCCCAGGGCAAAGTCTGAACTTACGGTTTTTTGGGGTAGGGATAGAGGTGGGAATCAAGAACAAAAAGTRCCTGCCTTTGACTAGTTTAGGATGTTAAAAATGAAGTCCCTTCCCAAAAGAGAACTGTAACAAACAATTTAAACAAAACAAAATGGTTTGTTTTATTTACAATACTCAATGCATCTTACAAATGATATTTTCATTCCCTAAGCCTTTTGGAAAGTAATTCCATTTTGTGCAATGAGTTTACAGGAAAATCGTAAGATATCTGTTTGACATCTTAAACCTAAATCCTAAATTTTGAAAGATAATTCACACTATATTAATAAAGGACTATTTTTTTAATTAAGAAAAACTAAACTCTGTAGTTAAATATTGCCCTCTGGCATCTTTAGCCCAAATACAAACTGGATTAGCCTATGAAATAATAATACCATTAGATTTGGATAAATTACTCTGACCTCCCCAACCCAACAAAATGCATGCACAAAGTAAACATAGTAAATTACATTAATCACATTTTATTTCAATACTTTCTTTTTGGACTCTCTCAACTATTATTTGCTCAATTCAGGGTATGGATAGATAGGATTCCAGTCTGGAGAAATCTGAAACCAGCCAGTAGTCCCTGTTCCAGAATAATGAAGAAAGACTTCAGTTAGGACCTGGAGACTGGCCAGGATTAGGGAGTCTTGGGAGGGTTTATTGGAGGGGTAGGAGGGCTTGCTTGTGAATAGCAATTCCCTCCAGAACTGGCAAAACCTGAAGGGGTCAGTTATTTTCCTACTAGCAGTCTGGGGAGCATCTAATTCATGCTTCCATAGAACAATAGGCTCCTCTTTCTCCCCTCCTCCCTGAATCATTACTTATAGTTTGGTGTCTTCTGCGTTGATAGAAGCCAGCTCCTCTGTTCAGATACCAGAAACTGCTTTGACGTCACATACACATTTTATGGAACAGGCAAGGAGCAAGTAACAACACTTGCGCAAGTAACAACACTTGCGCACCCCATGCATGTAAGAGAACAGGATTAATTTTGTCATTCATATAGCTGCCACCTCTTAATACATAAAATGATGGCTTAACTACTGAGAGAAGGGACAGAGATTATCTCCATACTGGATCCATTCCAAKTGAGTAATGTGTTTGTTTCTCCATCTCAACAATCATCACTCCTCAATTCTTTTTTTTTTTTTTGTAGTGCTGAGTCTCGAACTCAGGGACTTGTGCATACTAGGCAAGCAACTCTACCACTGAGCTACTTTCCCAGCACTCTCCTCAATCTTTAACACCTGGCAAAGGTGGCTGAATGGGGAGATACTGAACTATTGTTTGACAGTCAAAAGAATTCTAAGATAAAGAAATAGTGAGGTAGAGTTGAGAGAGTTCAATTAAAATTTTAAGCATAGACATTTTGGCACATTCTAAAATTACAGACTCCCTATCAAATTCTCCTTTTGATACCTTTACAAAGTGCTGACAACTTAGGAATTTTCAGTTCTATTTAGGAAATATGTAAGTAAAGCTAACAAAATAAAGTTATTTGAAGAAATCCATTCCTGGCATTTTACCTAATATTTACCCCCATATTGAAGCAAATAAAAACAATGCTACCCATTTGCTGCATTTATTTAAACAAATCAATTTAGAAATATCATAGAATTAAACAAAACTCTGACATGTAAACATACTGCCATGTTCCTGAAACAGATGTTAACACCTGATGAAAGTTAATAATTGCCTGTTAGGAAAGCTGTCCATTAATAAGGCCAGTCTTCAACAAAACTAAAACCATTCTGCTTCTTTAGCTTTCCTAGACTGACAATGCAATACTATCAAGCCACAATCAAATATAATAAAGACGACATTGGATGGATAGATCAGTACCATTGGTTACAGCTGTTAAACAGTTTCATTCTTGGTGCCACATAAAAACAAGCCAATCACATCAAATAAATCATGGCTTTTTTCTTTATCACAATTTACTAAGTGATGTTAATTATGGTCCTTGTCAAACACATCTGGTAAAGGCTATTTACAGTGTACATGGCCGAGCATGCACTATTTATAGTTACAAAGATACCTGCCAGTTTATTACAATAGAATTACACAGTGCCTGAAAATGGTGAAACATCTCACACATCATTTAAATCAATACAGTTTCAAGCAGAAAATGTTCCTTATTTGACCACAATTGCAATAATTACATGAAAATTCTTATAAAAACATGAATCCCCTTCAAGAAATTGATGCATATTCTACGCACTACAGGTTAAGGCAGTAAAAAAATGTATTCCTGATAACTGGAGGTCTTGACAATGTCAATTAAAGCTGTCTGACTCTAGTTTTTCATTCTCCATCACATACTCAAAGTTTGTGAATGATTTCATTTTTAAAGTCAAAAAATTATTAGCAAGTAAGAGTTGACACTGGAAAAAAAGTAATTGCTAGGGAAAGGAAAAATTCTAGGTTGGATTTGCTTGAAAGTTTTCAAATCATAAACAAGAGCATTATTTGTTAGTTTGAACCTTAAGTGTATAAAATGAGTACATATAGTTTACTTTTTTAATTTAAAATATACTGTACTTTGAACAATTCAAGTAATGTAAGACTATCAAAAATAACTTCATAAGCCATACAAGTGTCAATTGCATTTGCAATGTTTTAATTAAGAACTTTTTAAAAATTGCAACTAAACCATGACAGTTTAGTTAAACAAATGGTAAATGACTTTTTATTTGCACTTGTGATTCCTTTAATACAAATTGCTACCAACAAATATGTAAAGATATGGCAGATTATGCATTTGATCAAAGCACTTTCATATAAGCATAAAACAGATTCAAATGGTACAAGTTCGTGCATAAGATCCAAGGAGTTGCCTACTAACTTAGAGGCAGCCCTCTCTCTAATCAGAATCCATTATTCCTCAGCTGCAGATGARACAGGGCACAATCTGTTGTAAACAGGGAACTGTTGTAAAACCAGGATAATATTCTTAAATTAAGATCATTCTTGTTCAATTGAAAAGACTTTCCCAAGTGTCTTCCAGCATTGTAGTATATTCTGCTGACCTCTTAATTTCATAAATTAACTCTCCTTTGATTCCATTTTTACGGTGGTTGTATTCACAGTTTTGTTTTAAAAATTGGTTTAAATTTATATAAAACTCTGTACATGTTCACAAATTATTGCATAAACAGCATAATCTTCAAGACAGTGTTTGCAAACACATGTCCAATTCAGGAAAAAAAAAAAAAATTCACGTTTCCCGTCTGGCTTTTTTCTTCTTTTTTATTTGTTTGGGAGATTCCCAGTTAGTTTCAGACTTGGCTAAAAGGGGGTGGGGGATGGAGAGAGAAAAAAAGTTAAGAGTATAATAAACATTGTTATGTTTCAATAATACAAAAATAGTAGCTGAAAAAAAATGCTTTAAAATTCTCAAGTTTAAAAAAAATTCAAGTTTTATTATTTAGATTTTCAAGTCCTAATTGAATATTTTAAAGTTAGTCTATATCTGCCTCCCCCTTTTTTTTTTTAATCCCAATGTATTATGAGATGTGATCATATGGAAGCTAAAATATTCAACCAGTTTTGACCTAGAGAAAGCATTTTTTTTTTTTTTTGAGATGGGGGTCTGGTTGTATTGCCTAAATTACTCTTTTTTTTTTTTTTTAAAGAGAGAGTGAGAGAGGAGAGAGAGAGAGAGAGAGAGAGAGAGAGAGAGAATTTTTTAATATTTATTTTTTAGTTCTCGGCAGACACAACATCTTTGTTGGTATGTGGTGCTGAGGATCGAACCCGGGCCGCACGCATGCCAGGCGAGCGCGMTACCGCTGAGCCACATCTCCAGCCCCTAAATTACTCTTAAACATCTGGGCTTGAGTGATCTTCCTGCTTCAACCTCCAGTAGGTGGAACTACAGGTGTGTGCCATGGCACCCAGTCACCATTTAATATGGCTCAGCTTAACTAATACAAGAGAAAAATGGGTAATATGGACACTAGAGGTAGTTGTAGGGAGACAAGGAGGAGAAAAAGTACAGAACAATCTGACGTCACAACACATATACAAAGAAAAAGGGAGAAGGACCAGACAGATAGGTAGGCAGGAACCCAGTCTTCCTCTGTTCTTGGCCATTTGCTTTCTCCTTCAGTTATTTTAGCAACTTGGCCCTCACAACTAGAGTTCAAAATATTCTAAGAAATCTAGCACTTGCAAGAGGAAGTAAGGGCTACTCAATTACTCCATTAAACTTCTAAGATCAGAATCTTCACACTTGTCTACAAAAAAAAGTAAACAGTACAGAAGTAAACAAAATAACCAAAAAAGAGAATTTCTTACTCTGTGAAGGAGGCACACTATTTTGCTTGGTATTTGACTTGGATTTTTCTGTATCTTGTAGCATCGGTGGCACTTGGGAAGAGCTTTTGTCAGAATCACTCTTTGATAAGATAACAGATGGCTCGGTAGGAACAGCAGGTGGAAGAGTCTTGATAGGCTATTTTGGAATAAAATTACCTCAGATGTTTATAATATTTTCAAATAAAATTAAGTATACTAATATCAAGAGGTTATTTGGCAGGAAGTAAATACTAAGATGTTCTAAGTTATCAGCAGAAGCACCGCAACTCATGTCTGCCCTCTAGTGATACGGCCAAATAAACCATAACTTCACATTACTTAKGAATACAGGTTGAGATAAAAATGGAAGGTATAAAATAATAAAATACCTAATGAATCTCAAATAGGAGTGAATAATCCCATTTTCATTATTATTATTATTATTATTTTTGGTACCGGGGATTGAACTCAGGGGCACTCCACCACTGAGCCATATCCCCAGCCCTATTTTATGTTTTATTTAGAGACAGGGTCTCACTGAGTTTCCCAGCAACTCACTTTTGCTGAGGCTGGCTCATGATCCTCCTGTCTTAGCCTGGGATCATAGGTGAGTGTCACTGCACCCAGCTCATTAATTTTTATGATTTCTATTTCATTATAAATATCACTTTTTAATATTTTTTAGACATTCAATGGTTCTGCTGACATTCTACCAACTTTGAACTTTTCAAAATATCGAGTCTGGAAKTGAAATTAGAATACTAAAGGAGGGCCTTGATTTTGTGTGGAATGTGTGTGTTTCTTCTGGGGATTAAATTCAAGCACTTGATTACACTAGGCAAGCATTCTACCACTCAAGTACATGCCAGTGCTTTCAAACTCTCAATCCTTCTGCCTCAGTCTCTTGAGTTGCTGGCACTAGAGGTATGTGTCAGCACCCGCAACAGGGCCTAAATTCTCCTTACTGAGGCATAGCCATTAATGAATGGTCAGGACCAGTTAATACTAAAAAGGCTAGTATTTGAAGTGTCTTGAGGCTGTGAGAGATCAGATTTTTTCACTAGCTAGCTCTACCTGCAATCATTATTTTGAATTTCCTATAGAAACAGGGTAAGTAATGTTTCCACTGCCCATCTTCCTCCAGTCTCCATGAGTTCAAGACGGTCCAACAGGAAAAGAACTTCTTTAGAGAAGTGGTATGAGTAAAGGCAACTACTAGTATTCCTTTGTTCTATTTCAGGTGTCTGAAGTTACATTGGACTGCTTGGTTTATCTTTCATAATGTTACCTGTATTTATTCCATATGCAAAAGTTTTATTGCATATTTTCAATAATTTCCCCCTCTACCTTACCACTTATTTACAGTAAATCATAGAAGGGTTCAAATATTCTTTACAAGATGGCTTTTGAAAAGGATTTAAATACAACACCAAAATGTCAGCTGACTCTTTTCCATTTACCATTAAATTTCTACATATACTCAGATTGCATCTGTTTACCTGAAAACACTTATAGGGAATCAAGAACTTCATACCCAAATAGCAAATATTATTAAAGCTCTGTTTTAGTACAAGACTTTAAAAAATTCTTTCTCTTAGCAGTAACTCAATTTGTCAAAAGCTGTTTTACTAAATATGAAAGTTCTCACAAAGACAAGGATGTTTTGACTGCTTTGTTCTCTGAGGTATCTCAACACTTCAAACATATAGTTGGTCCTCAGTAAAATTTCTGAATGGGCAAATAAAAGAACCAGGAAGGGGCTGGGGTTGTGGCTCAGCGGTAGAGCACTCGTCTAGCACATGCGAGGCCCTGGGTTCAATCCTCAGTACCACATAAGACAGCATTCAAAAACTTTTTACCATGGGACTGGGGTTGTAGGTCAATGGTAGAGCACTTGCCTAGCATATGTGAGGCACTGGGTTCGATTCTCAGCACCACATAAAAATAAAGGTATTGTGTTCATCTACAACTAAAAAAATTAAAAAATTTGTTATCAAATTTTGGAAGATTGAACCAATGATTTTATGTGTATACTCTGGGGATAATACAACCAGGCACATTTTTTCTCTAAACCATCTATCCCTTATGTGCCTAGATATCCAGTAAAAGAAAAGTATATAGTACCCACCCCCATCTTTATCTGTGGGAGATATGTTCTAAGACCCTCAGTGGATGCTTGAAAACTGAGGTAGTACCAAACCTAATATACTATGCTTTTCCTATTCACTCTTCCTGTAGATCTTAGCAATAATGGCATCCAATTTTTTCTTCCCTTATTAAGTCAAGAACTTTCTCTTTTCTTGTAAAGAAGCACTTTATATGGGCTGGAGTTGTGGCTCAGCGGTAGAGTGCTCATCTTGCATGTGTGGGACCTTGGGTTCGATCCTCGGCACCACATAGAAAAAATAAATGAGTGAAAAAAAAGGTATTGGGTCCAACTACAACTATAAAAAAATAAAATATCTTAATTATTTTTTTACATTTGAATCAGATGGGATATAATTTCTCGATTTTCTGAGTGTACAGGTTTACATTGGTCATGCAGTCACATGCAGTCTTATCTTTGGCACATTCAATTCACCAGCATCACTTCTCTTGTGCTTTGGGGCCATTATTATTTTTWAAAAAAAATTTTTTTAGTTGCAGATAGACACAATACCTTTATTTTAATCATTTATTTTTTATGTGGTGCTGAGGATTGAACCCAGGCAAGAGCTAGGCAAGTGCTCTACCAATGAGTTACAACCGCAGCCCCATGGAGCCATTATTAAGTAGAATAAAAGTAAAGGTTATTTAAACTGCACTGTGATATTAAGACAGTTAAACTGATAACTGAGAGGGCTATTATGTGATTAACGAGCAGGTAACATATATGGCATTAATTAGCTGAACAAAGGGATGACTCATGTCYGGGAAGGGCAAGAAATAATGCAATTTCAATATACCACTCAGAATGACAAGTACTTTAAAATATATGAGTTATTATATGAGTTATTTATTTCTGAAAAATTCCACTTAATATTTTCAGACTACATGTGATCATAGAAACCAAAACTGGGTGAAGGGGAACTGCTGTGTAGTGGCTCCAATTTTATTACTGATAGATATGTAGCTATGGGCAAATTATTCAACTTCTCTAGCATCATTTATATGATAGGTCTCACCTTCTCTTTGTTTTCTGGACTAGTTTGTGTTTAAAGTACTTACCGCAGTGCTTCAGCAAAATTTTAATGATACAATTCTTGAGTCAGTAAAACTACTACTATTCCTTAAAAATTACCTGGCTATTTTTGATGAGTACTTCAACTGGATCACTAGTGCTTGTGGTCTTCAAGGAAAATGCTTTTTCTTGTTTTGGACGGGCTTTAGAGGTATTCACTGGAAGCTCTTCTCTAATCTCTTTTTCTAATTCTTCTGTGTCCTTCAGAGAAAAGTAGTTTGTGTATTAGATAATAAAAATCATTCATTCGTTACTAATTAAAATTTATTTTTCTTGTTGTCCTTAAGATGCCACAAGAAAATAATTTCATTTCAGAAGTTGTCCAAATGACTTTTAGAACATATTATTGATCACTTTTGATTTTTCCAGGGAGTTATATCAATTGTGAATGGGAAAAAAAAGACATATAATGCTGTACATGGTCATGCGTGTCTGAAATCCCAGCTCCCTGGGAGGCTGATGGAGAAGGATTACAAGTTTGAGGATGGCCTCAGCAACATAGCAACACCTTGTTTCAAAATTAAAAATAAAGGGTTGGGGATGTAGCTTAAACGTAAAATACTCCTATGGTTAATCCGTAGTACAAGAAAAAACAAACAAAAAAACCCCACAAAGTTTTTCACTGAATGACTTTTTCAAGGAACAAAATATTTATACATACATAGTAGAAAGGACATAGACAGGGAATTCAAATTTTGGCCATACCACAATCTAGCTATTTAATTTCAGGGACAAATCAGTTGTTTTCCTGGGGTCTCAGTTTCCTCAACTGTATTAAATAAAGTCTGCCTATAAAATTTCTAAGCCCTATCTAAGTTTTAACATTTCCAGTCTTGTCCTTTAACTTTTCAAAAGATTTCAACAAAATAATTCT